ACAGGCCTCATGCAAAAGGCAAAAGTATTCAAAAGATTATTTTTAGGTTCTGGATACTTTGTATAATGGGCACTGTGATATTTTTATCTTACTAGTTTTTACACACGTGCAATGCACGTGATTAATACCATGATTAAGTATTTTGGCAGTTTGTGCTTATTTTTTCTTAAACTCTTACATCCCGATTATTTTTTTATATTGTTTAAATGGGATACACCCAATTTAAATTTTATATTGATATTTTGAATTGACAAAAAATAAATATAATTTAAAAATAATTTGAATTTCATATTATTTTTGACCTGATGAAACTAAGCTTTATTGAGAAAGTATAGCATGCAAAGTAAAAAATATTAAAATAGTGTTTATACAAGGAAGGTGATATTTAAAACAATATGGCAAAATGATTGATTTTAAAGTATGTTAAACGATGCAAAAGAGATATGAGTTTATTCCTAAACATTGATAGACTTCATAAAAAATATAAATTAGATTAATGCTAACTCTAGTATACTTTTATATAATAAAAACATCCACATAAGAATATAAAGTACTGAAAAAAATTCATGAAACTCCTTCTAAAGATTCCTAATTCACTCAAAATAATAACTATTCTATAAATATTCATAAAATATTATTTTTATTTCTTCTATTTTATTTTTATTGAGTTAAGATTAATCCTTCTTCAGTTTATCATTTTCATTCTCGACAATCTAGAGTATTGTCTTCATCATCTACATCATTGTAAATCAGGCTAATTTTTGTATTTTTTATGCTATGTTTTCCTAGGCTCGTTAATTTTATCATCTCATTTAACTTTACAAAGAAGTCAAATGTACTTATGAGTTCAACACACTGCTCAAATATAGACTTTGATTTTTTCTATTTCAATGAGAATAAATATTAATTTCATATTATAAAATTCTTTGTGTTCCTAATTTATTACTTAAAAAATTAGAAAATATTTTTATTTTTCTCTAAAATGAATTCTTCTGATGTGCATCCAATAATAATTTCTGTTATTCAATAATATTATCTTTGTTCTATCCTGTCATTTTCCATAAAGATCTAAACTAAATACCTGTATTATTTTACCAATTTTCTTAGATTATAATATTAATATTTAATTTGAAGAACACAGTATGAATTTATGAATACTTACTAATTTTTCTTATGTCTTCCATGGAGATTTTTTCTTTGATTAGGATAAAGTTATTAAATTATTTTTAATGTAACTCATTTAGTGCTTCATTAATAGATATGTCTTATGTTAATGCAATTCAAATGATTCATTGACGTTTTCTGAATTTTAGATTTATTTCCATCACTTTCCCATTTGCAATGAAAATAACTCAATTCTTTTAAAGTTATCTCTAATTATTCTAATAGTTTCTCATATGTAATTCCTTGTATTCTTTACCCTATAAATATTATTAACGTCAAAGATAAAGTTTCGAAATTAAAATCAATTAATGCTAAGGTATAATATTATAGTGTTTTATCATTTCTATGGATTTAAACATCTATCAATTAATGTACGAATGTATTTTGGCTACCCCAACTTATTACTAAAATTATATGAAATTACTTTAATTTATATAGCCGATAATTTTAATCTATAATATTTTTAAAAAATTTATCCAGTTAACCGATGTTTTAATCAATTCTTATTATTTTGTTACCAGTATCAACTTAGACTATTCTTAGATGCTGAAAATGGATAGTAAATCCCTAAATTAGAAATTTTATATATATATATATATATATATATATATATATATATAATATATATATATATATATATATATATATATATATATATATATATTTATATATATATATATATATATATAATAATTTTGAAGGAGTTTTTTAAAAATTTTGAGGTTAATTTTGGTAAATTTTAATTTTTTAGGTGTCTAAGGGTAATATCTTGAATTCATCTTATTTTATTTACAAATTTTAGAATTTTAGGGTGGCTTTTTATAATTTGAACTTTTGAAGGTGTTTCTATAATTTTTGAGATATTGATGGTGTTAATTAAAAAATTTAAATTTAAATGTCAAAAATTTTAGGTGTATCATGGTAATCTCTTGAATTCATCTGTGTTGTTTGTAAGTTTTAAAATTTTAGAATTTTAATGTGCTTGTTTGTAATTTAAACTTTTAAGGGTGTTTCTATAATTTTTGAGACATTGAGGTGTTAACTGTAAATTTTAAATTCTTTACAAACTGATGTTAATTTTTTAATTTCATGTTTTTTATTTTAAGTTTTGAGACATTTGGATGAGTTTTATAATTTTAAACTTTTCAGGGTCTTTTATTGGGATGATTTTTATAATTTTGAACTTTTTAGGGTCTTTTTTGCAATTTTAAAATTTTTTATGGTTTTTTTGCAATACTTCATGTATTATAATATGTTATCTACTTGTAATTTCTTTATCTTAACAAACTAATATCATTTTTATGTTATATATTTTATTAATATTTTAGTTTTTTTAAATTGTTAAGCTAAACATGGTTCACATAGGATTAGGATAAGATATGATTATGATTAGGATATATTAAGATATAAATAAAATATTCAAAATAGTGAAGGGTAATATTGACCATTGAAAATTAGAAATTGATTATAGATAATGTAGTTCAAACTATAAAGGGGTATATTTGTCTAAAAAAGATTTTCTGAACTCGTGCTTTTAAAGGGAGTATGATATGTGACCTGACGACTTTACTTGTGACATATCGACTTTACTTGTGATGTGCATGTTATATTCAATTTGCAGTCTTCCTAATATAAGCTCACAGTCATCGGATCATATCGAGGAACCTTATGAGAGGATCCCAATCGAGGAATCAGAGAGGATCCCAAATGACAATCCTCAAGGAGAGCATGTGTGGATGATGAACGACATAGCAAGTGACTCGTCTCATGTGTGACATTTACTCGTCTCATGTGGAATGACTCTATTAGATGTGACTTATATCCATTATATATGATATTTTGCTGTTGCTTGTGACATTTGTTGTTTATATGTGACATATGACTGTAATTTGTGATAGTAAATTTTTGTTTGATACACAGATATCGTCATATCACTTCTAATATTGCTGAATCTTACAACAATTGGATTCGTGTGGCGAGAACACTTCCTATTTGCGATATGATGTCACGCTGAAGCATATAACTGATCCACGTGCATTGAACCTATCCAAGATTAATGTTTCCTGGCAGAATTCAAACTCTTTTGTGACTGTTGTCTGTTATATGTTACTTTTGATATTTTGTTGTGATATTTACTACTTAAAAGCAGAATATATCACCCAGAATGTCACTATGTCACATGAAACCATCATATGTGACATAAGTAAGTATCACAAGTATTAATAAACTGGTAAGTATAAGATATTTAGAGAAACTTACGAGCCTTTTTGCGTTCGACAAGAAACTGCTTCAAAAATTTAGATTTTTAATGAATCAAAAACAAGAAACATTGACACTTCATCCAAGATCATAAAGTTAAAAAATCTATAGCTAAAAAAGCACAGTAATCAATCCAAATCTAGGCCAACGATCTACTACGACGTTCATCTAATATGCTAAAACTAATAAAATCACTAAAAATACAGAAACAAAGAAAGATCACAAAACAAGAATGCTAGATCCAAAGAATCAGATCACTCACCTAGTGGGGAGATTGTCGACGTAGCTAATGAGCATCTTGAGCGTCGCTCACTTCTCCTCGAGCTCCTTCAAGATCACCGCCGCCCTCACCCACCGCCCTGAGCTCTTCAACCGATGCCTCACGATCAGCATCGCCACCGCATGGCCCAACTTATTTTGGTTCCTCCAAGAAATATTTCCTAAAATTAATCAAGATTAGCAAAAAAAAACCCAAATCCTGAAACCCAACAAGAATTCCTTGCAAAACGAACAAACCCATGAAAACCAAGAGCAACCTAGATCTGAAAACACACGTAAAGACACAAATTCATCTACTACCTAAAGTGGCGACAAATTCTCCTTCACGAACTAATCCAGAGTCATGTTGCCATTTGCCTTAAACTTTTGGCAAACCTTGCTATCAACCAAATAGCTCTTAATCTTCCACCAATTCTTGGAGCTCTCGACCCTCTTCTGCAACCAGTTGGAGTAGTCCCCGAGCCTATACTCCTTGTAGCCCCTCCCGGAGACAACCTCGTCAGCTCTCTTGTTGGTGACGACGAAGGTGAAGACGGTGAAGCAGAAGAGGAGGAGGATGAGGAGGAACATGACGAGGAGGTAGATCCAGAGGAGGAGTGAGTTGCGGCAGCAGGCACCAACGAGACGCGTTGGTCGCAGAGGGAGACGACGAGGAGGAAAACGCCGATGGCGATGATGGGGTCTGCAGGAGGAGGAGGAAGGGGGGAGGGGAGGGGAGGGGAGGAGGCGGACGGAGCTGAGGAGGGGGTCGGGGAGGAGGGGGATGCGGATGAGGAGGGAGGAGGGGAGGGGAGGAAATGGATTCAGTTTTAATTGGGAAGAAGGATAATTTGGGAAGTGGTTTTTTGGGCAGTGGGTTTGGGGGTTGGTTGCACATATTTTTCAATTTTAGGCTTGGGAGTTATGGTTCTTGCGCTGGGGGTGAGGATGCTTGACCCAACTATTTTTGGTTCATCCAAGCAATTTTCCCTTAAATTAAATATATTAAAAACCTTAGAAAGACACAGGTTTAAAATACAATACTTAAAAAGACAAGGTAGACACTAGTTTATTTGTAATTTGTAAGTAAGTCAGGGTTACAGCATAACAAATGTTTTAGACCGTTTTCCAATTCTTCAGATCTCAGGTCCCTTCACCTAAAGCTCGCTCATGTGTACACACATCCTTCCACGGCTCCACTACAACGTAAAAAAGGAAATACTTTCAAAATCTGTACCCAGATCCAGCCACGTGGCATCATCAGAGAACTCGACCGTTGGAAAACGCAGTCTCTAATTTCTGCAGATATCATAAATCCCCCTTTTTTCTCTCACTCTGCCCAGATTTCAATCGTCAATCAAAGAAACTTTCTTTTTTTCTCTGTCCAATGGCGATTGCGACTGAGAGCCAGCGAGAAGAGAAGGTACAGAGAAATTTCTAGGGTTTCTGATTTCAATTTGGCATTTGAGCTCTTATAGTGTCTCTTCTTCTGTTTGCCCCTTTTCGTTGTGTTTGCTGACTTCGGGAGAATCTAGGGTTTTTCTTGATCGATTATGCCTGGGCAAAAACTTCGTTTTTTGATGACGGATCTTTCCATTTTGATAATTTAAGGATCTGTTTTTTTTATTTTTTGAGTTCATATTCCTTTTCTTGCGGTTATTCTTTGTGGGAAGTTTTCTACATTGTTAAAGTTTGAATCTTTTTTAGGAATACAAGGTTTTGGGGGAGATTAGATTAATATTTTTTTTTTTTTGCTTCGATTGCCAATGACAGAGAGTAAAAGTAAGTTAATTTGCTGTATTCGAAGCTCATACACAGTTATCTTGAAGAAAACCCAGTTGGAAAGGCTATTTTAGTTTTAAGTATTAAAGAAAATAGTAATTGTACGTCAAGACGCTACCTTTGCTAACGGGTCGTCTAGTACTTCTTAAATCAGATGTAATTATTTAGAACTTAAGTTTTGCTGTAAAAGGGTACAAAGTTTTAGGAAAGATACATTGTTGGAAAGCTTGGTAAAGGGGGTAATTTGGTGCTTCTGGTCCTCCTAAGGTTTGTTGAATGTAAATATGAAAATTTGCGAATAATCTACTTGATCGAGAAATATATGCTTGTTTTCTAATGTTATGTGTATTTTATAGGCCTCATCGAACGTTCCGGCTGGTGATAAGCGTTGGATTCTGAACGATTTTGACATTGGGAGGCCTCTTGGAAGAGGGAAGTTTGGCCATGTGTATTTGGCGAGGGAAAAGAAGGTACTTATCCTTGTTAATTGTGAGATTATGCATTAAAGTTAATATTTCGCGTTCATTTCTGACAGTCAGTGTCCATCTTGATACTCGTAGTAGTATAACTGAATTCACATCTTTACCAACTCTCATTGCGTTATGTGACAGAAAGATCAACTGACTTTTGAGCAGTTGTTTACATCACACAAATCGGTCATTAGACTTGATTTCCCCACCTATCTTATTTGGATAACTGATTCTTGAAAAGTTAACTTAACTTCATACTTCCCGTAAGGAGAATCATTGAAAATTCTCTTCAACAGCCAAACTTACATGAGGTTGACATTTTGGAACAGAGTAACCATATAGTGGCATTGAAAGTTCTCTTCAAGAGCCAGCTAAAACAGTCTCAAGTTGAGCACCAGTTGCGCCGTGAAGTAGAAATACAGAGTCACCTTCGACACCCAAATATACTGCGACTATACGGCTACTTCTATGATCAGGTTGAATTTTCCTACATGCCTTTTATCATTGTTTTATCTGTCATAGAAGAGTTCAGTAGCCTTATCATCCTTTACTATTTCTACTGCAGACCCGGGTATATCTTATTTTAGAATATGCAGCAAAAGGGGAACTTTACAAAGAATTGCAGAAGTGCAAATATTTTAGTGAAAGACGAGCTGCCACTGTGAGTGATATGCTCTTTTTAATTCCTTTGTTCGTGTTTTTTTACCTCTCACTGCCTTAAACCCTTGATGTATCCTAGTTCATCCAAATTTCCATTGCTCCATCTATTCTTCTATTTACCTAATGGATGAACCTTGTACATGTTTTGGATAGTTTTGGGATCTGTTTTGGATAGTTTTGGGATCTATCTTTCATATTGATGCTAAATAATTACTGTATGGAGTGTTGTAATAAATATAATATTTATTTCGTTGATGTTGTGTTCAGTATATTATGTCACTAGCACGGGCTCTTATCTACCTGCATGGAAAGCATGTTATTCATAGAGATATTAAACCAGAAAATCTTCTGATCGGAGTTCAGGTATGTATGCTTTCTTCTCATCTGAAATCCAGTTCCATACATGATAACGGACTCACAGATTGTTGTTATTCTATAAATAGGGTGAGTTGAAAATTGCAGATTTTGGGTGGTCAGTGCACACATTTAATCGTAGACGAACAATGTGTGGCACACTGGATTACCTTCCACCTGAAATGGGTACTGAATCTCCACATTTTCTCAATGTCTTCTGGTCTGATTTGCTTATAAGATTCATACCCTTATGATTCTGACTTGTTTCCACTCGTTGTGTTTGTTTTAGTCGAGAGTGTTGAACATGATGCAACTGTGGATATTTGGAGCTTAGGTGTCCTGTGCTATGAGTTCCTTTATGGCATGCCACCATTTGAGGCAAAGGAACACTCTGATACATACAGAAGGTAGGAAGAAATATTTAACTCTATTCTTCTTTGGTGTCTGTTTAAAATAGCTTAGCATGTTTCTATATTTCCTCAGTAGATTTGAGGTACTTTCATGCATCAATGTGGACCAGTAGTAAATGCTATAGTGTTAGTCGGCCAACAAACAATCTCCAAACCTTCATGAAGGCTCATCCAGAAAAAAACATATGAAATACTCCATGCAAAAAAGAAAGAAAGAAAGAAAGAAAATTCTACACGCGCCATAGACATTGAGGGGAAGAAAACACGCTGGCTTCCTACCTAATTTCTGATTTTATGTCATCTTCTTGTTAAACGTCAAGCTTGGTTGTCTATCAATCTCTTAAAGTTGTTCTATGCATGCAGGATAATCAAAGTAGATCTCAAGTTCCCCCCAAAACCAATTGTGTCTGCTGCTGCAAAAGATCTCATTAGCCAGGTGCATACCCATTTTTTCGTGTTTAAACTGGATCACAACGAAATTAGAAACAGAACTAAATTTAACTTTTGTTTTCTTGTTCAGATGCTAGTTAGAGAAACCTCACAGCGTCTTCCCCTCCACAAGGTGCTTGAGCATCCATGGATAGTTCAAAATGCTGATCCCTCGGGCATCTACAGAGGCTGATCTCGAATCTGATGTTGTCAGCCGATAATTGTGACCTGTTTGTTGTTTATTGCCTGTGTATTTAGGGCTTAAGCCAACACTTACTAAGTTGAAGATTCATTCACTGAGCAAAGGATATAGTTGTGTATCGGTATCTCCAGCGTTGATATCGGAGTAAAATGAATTCTTTGTACTCCTAGAAAGACCATTTCATACATGTCTGTTGTTAGAAATAAAAGAGCAAATGGGGATGCATGAGGCTCTTTTACTGTAAGTGTTTGTTGTTTCGGTAGCATTTACTTGTCCTGTGGCAGCAGAGATGCAAATGAATCAAATTCGTTATTCTTCTAAGATGGCTGATTGTTCATTACTAAACATTGGATTTCGTCGATAGGGATCACTACAGCTTGATTAATTTTAAGAACTTTGCCTCTCTAGAATTGATTTGCTAGCCAATTTTCTCTGTCTCCCAGACGAAACTTTCTTTGTAGCATCAGATTATTTATCAGTGCAGTAGACAAGAGCTATTGCAAAGCTGAAAGCAAAGAAGCCAGGTAATTACCTGGCTGTTTCTTTATAATAAAAAAATTAATTACCTAGAAGTTTCTTCATGATTTAAAAAATTGAGAAAAGATGGTCGATATAACGAAATCTGCAATCATTGATAAGATCAGATGGCAAACTGAAGTAGCAGAAAATATGTTGATTTTAAGTCTACTACGAATTTGATGAATCAGAAACATTCCCATTTGCAAACAAGCCCACGCCAAAATACAGCAGAAAACATGTTGACAAAACTACTACAGAATTAGAAATGATCTTACTAGTTGATTACAGTCCTCATATATACATGAAACGGGTTATGATACACCATACCCCTTATTTTGATATCTCTAGTGCTTGATGGAGTGGAGAAATACATACAGTACCCAATCTTATATATTGATACCACAAAAAAATCCAGAAACTGAAATTTTCAGAAGGAAGAAAACCCACATAGGCATGACACATAAGTATCTACTGTATCTTAATAGATATAATTTTGGATGAGCAGTAAAGATACCCAGTTTCAACACTTCTGCGTTGTGCCATTATTTTCAGTGTCGCAATTTTCAGCATTACTGTCATACTCCGGCATCACATGATGACCATCAAGCGTGAACTTTCCACTTGATGATCTCCATTTTTGTAGATTTTCTGCTCTCTTTGCTTCCTCGATATCTTTGGCACTTAGGAAACTTGGCTGATTAGTTGAAGAAAGCAGCCTCGCCCACATTCTGTCAGTAATCACCACCTTGTTCCTTGTCTCTGTTACCCTCTGCAAAGCATACAAAGAAAAGTCAGTCGATTCAAGCCGCAGGGTTGGCTGTTTTGACACTTGTGCAGAATTTCCTATTTGTCTAGTAGATAATCTTTACTAGATAGAGATAGAATTTTACTTAGAAGTTTTAAATTTAAATATATAAAAGAGTAACTCCGTATAGTAAGATGCCTACAGGAAGCCAGAACTTGTACTATCGGTTATAGGTTGGAGAGTCATTTTCTGTCCTTTTCGAGAAAGAATTAAAGATTGTTGACTTTAGCTAATTAAAGTTCAACTTTGTTTGACACAGTAGTCAAATATATATCTTGTGCACGTGCATAACAAAGTTCTGCCAAACGGAATCAGAAAATTCATGAAAAAAAAATTCCTGTAAGGTTTATGAGAAGCAAGATTCCACCTACATGACTTCAACCCAGAATCTCAAGGTCATAGCGAAGCAAGCAAGATGCATTTATGTACACCTTACGACAAAATGGATACCATTTGATAATTTATAAAACAAGAAGAGAGTGATACATACATAAAATGGTATGTAGGTATGTCTGCCATTGACAAGACCAACAGTGAAGCCAGTATATCCCGCCATTGCTCCATGAATGGCACTATGAGCCAGCAGAGTGCAGTAAACATTGTCAGATGCAATACTTGGGATTGCACGAATCATGTAAGTCGGATCTGCAAATTGAATCCATAGAGGTCAGCAACTTAGATCAGTCACTTAGAAGTATGCACTGAGCAATTATAGAGATATACCAATATATTTCAGAGTTATCTGCATCCTTCCACTGTTAGTGAAGTGATCCTGTGAAGGGGAAAAAACATTGTTACTCTTAAGATGCTCAGATTCTACTGGAAAAGGTCATTTACATATTTGGTACATAATTTGGTCTCTATTCTCCAGTGAAAAATGCAATGTTTTGTGTACCTTTATTTTCTGAGATAACCATAAGCCGACATCAAGCAGCAGCTTATTTCCAGAGGCATCCTGGTGGTCCATCGACCGCAGGCTTTCAGCAATAAGCTCTTGCCCTGCACCCTCAGCGACAACAAGAACCATGTGCCCATTTTCTTTAAGTCTCTTTTCTATATATTCATACAGTCCACCTTTTCCTTCCAGATAAAAGGGGGATTCTGGTATCAAGCAGCAGTCCTAAGGGAGTAAGAAAAGAAGGAAAACAGAATATTATCATTAGCTTTTATCTTAGAAAATGGTAATATTTAATGGATATAGAAAGCTCAATGTTGTGGGTAGTGGTTGCGAAGGTTAATCATGCTTACCACGTCTCTGCTTGCAAGAGTAGCATACATAGCAATGAATCCTGTGCAAATGATAAGAAGAGGTCAGCAGTAAATCTTGTTACATCAGGTCTGAGATAGACGTAAACATTGTGAGTTAACATAAATTTGGTTGTATTATCAAGGCATAGCCATATGAATCTTACTCCAGCTAATTTTGCAAGCTTGCTATGGGCCTGTGGCTCATTGTTAGTAGTCAATTTACAACCAGTGTTGAAAATAACAATAATGCAAAATGCAACGGTCAACTCTGATAGCCTAAAACCAAAAACTATGTAGCGCATAATGTAGTATGTGTAGAAAATGTTGGATTCATTGTTGGCAACATAACAATCATAAACCACATATAGAAAATGTGTTGAATAACATGATCAACAAATAAATTGAGAAAGATTGCATCTGATTTGAGTTTCTAGAGAAGCAGTGAATTGTGATTGAACATCGTTCAGACTCATAATTTATAATTGGATCTTGATCCTCTCACATGCATAATTGGCTAAGCATCTGAAACACCTATTGAGAAACAAATGAGTTTTCAGCAAATTTAATGAAGATCTCTGACAACCTAGGTAAAGGAACATAAACGCAACAGCAATTAATCAATTGATTAACTCTTCCTCGTAAAGAACCAAAAATAAAAACAATTATTTAACAAACTGCAGCTAAATCACAAAACTTACCACTATAGCGACCCATTAGCTTCACAACACCAATGCCATTCTCAACACTTGAAGCTTCCACATGGGCTGCATTGATCGCCCGCTGGGCCTCCCCAACAGCAGTATCAAAACCAAAGGATTTGTCTATGACCTGATTCAACAGAAGTAATCATATTAGAAAATTTAATGAGAGAAAAAAAATCAAAGGATGCCCACAACAGATATCAAAAGTCAAGACATTAAACATTGGGACCAAAACTAGAGCGGAGAATTACAGCAATGTCGTTATCGATTGTCTTAGGAATTCCAGCAACAGCAACTTTGAGACCACGCCGTTGAATTTCCTGCAAGAAGAGATGTTCCAAAATAATTGACATGCATACTTACTCCTTCAAAGGATTTCTACGAAGGAACTTAATACTGATCCAGGAAAAGAACCAAAAGAAGTCACTCTCTCTTTGTACTTCCACATCTGATATATATAGTACCTCAAAAATCAAAGAAGCCCCCTTTTGAGTTCCATCTCCTCCAATTATATAAACCTGGAAGTGAATTTACCTAAAAATTAACAAAAATAAGAAGTGCAATTTTAATCCTAAGAAAAAGAATGAAATATATACCTGATGAATCCCCCGATCTTGAATGCTATCAACTATCTTCATGGTATCATGACCTCCACGTGATGTACCAAGGACGGTACCACCTCTTTTATGGATATCATCAACACTTTTTGGCGTCAAGTCAACAGTATTACGAGCATAGAAACCTTTGTATCCATCCTACAATAAAACGTCCAAATTAGTCAATGCCCTTGTGTGACAAAGGCATGAAAGGACCATCCAGCTACACCAAGATTAAGATTGGTAAGTATCCTCATAACTTCGATGAGCCCTACGGCCAAAAAAACGAGCACATACCAAAAGCATTATAACATGAGAACAAAAGACTAATAAAAATTAAATTGTAATCATATAGCGCCCGAATTTGGTAGCAAGGCCTCACCACTATACCAAAAACTTTGTCGACACCATACATGTGGTTTAGGCCGCATACTATTTCCCTAATCACCGTATTGAGCCCAGGGCATAGGCCTCCACATGTTACAATGCATGCTTGCACATCATCAGGTTGAAAATACACCTGAACCACATAGGAAAACGCAAGTCAATTTATTCCTAGGCTGCTACATCTCAAAATCAACAAATTTGAAAGGAGATTGGCGGTGATAGTACCTTCTGACGGGGCCCAGCACGTCTAAAATGGGTTCCTCTTGGACTATTCTTTTGGATGACAATCTACAGACATAACTCACTATTTAATGACAATGCATAACCATCTCTGTAATTCTAGCGAGATCACAAGTAAATAAACTGATGTGAAAATCGAGAGGACTCACCTTTTGTGGAACAGTATCATCGTTATGTACAAAATACTGCCTGGAAAAAAAAAAGATTTGTATTTTGTTACTCATAGTGGTTCTAAAAGAATTTTTAATGATGAATATCCTACGAAAGGATATTTGTGAATTATCTGGTTAAGATAGGTAGACATACTTAACAACTGCATACGATGGATTGTTTTGCAAAGGATTTGGATACGTCTGTCACAGAAGAGAAATTTTAATGTTAAAAATAGTATTCAGTAGATTAGTTAACAGGTAAAGAGCAAAAATCTCAATACCAATCAAATGAGAAAATTGCAGGTTGAGATAATATTTGGTTAAGCCCCCAAATCACATAAATCATACTGACTATTGAATTTCCCAAAAAAGTTTTGTTGTTCTTTATTGTTTTATTTACCTTCACGAGATCAAAAGAATTTCCCACAACAAATAATTACACAGGAGAATCAAAGAATTTGCTAAAGCATACTCCACTTATTGCTCCCAAAAAAATGAAATTATGCAAACAAACAACATAAAAAACCTAAGAGAATTTGAATAAACAAATAAAGAGACTAATAATTAAAATTGAAAAACTTAAGACAAATAAACATATATAAAAGGTTAAAGATCAAATCTTTTTCAGAAATTAAGCCAAAAAAGAACTCACTTCAAGATTGGGGAGGTAATCACTCAAGTGAGGGACGTCCTCAAGAACGTAGCCAAAGTCCCCTTCAACAATTTTCAAGTTCGATCTCCCATCAGCTGCCATCTTCTCCTCGAATCGAAGCGTTCGAATTCGATCCGACGAAATCTCCACCGGCGATCGAGCACTAGCAGAGGATAACTGAGACAGTATACCGCTCGAGGTCGAGTTCGAGTTCGAGTTCGAGCTCAAATCCAAAGACTTAGGTTTTGATTCCATTACAGAGAGAGCAAAGAGAGGAGATTAATTTGATCGGATGAATTCTTGAAGTCACCATCGATCGAATTTATAGGAGAAAATTGGAAAGTTCCAGTTTGAAGGTTGAAACTCCGTGGTTGTCCTTTTTTTCTTTTCCTTTTAGTTTAATGGTTTGTTTGATGGCGACAATTAAAATGTGAATAGTGGAGAAGAAAGAGGAGAAAATGAGCTCGGGTTTTTTCCCGGGGGTTTTTTAGACAACTTTAACGGAAACCCCCTTGGTATTTGATAAAACTCCGAGGCTGCCACTGTGGATGACATGCCCTGGGGCAACTGCTGATGAAACCATGGTCCAACGAGTCAACGGAGGAGGGGTAATTTGGTCAAAGTAGGAGACTGTCGGGCGAAGAAGCGGTTTAAGGCGGCCGGGCACAGGAATCAGCACAAAGTTTTTCCAGACTTTCTAGAATAATTTAACTACGAATCTTATTAGGTGTTGTTCGTAAAAGTTTTGCTTAAATAAAGGGCGAGAGATAGAGTACTAATAAAGTTTGGGTTTTGTTAGTAAGTGCCTTGTTAAGAGTTACTAATCAAGTTCTCAAGTAGTTCAGTAGTGGTTGATGTCAGAAGTTAGGTTGTGGGATTTCGAAGAGCTTAGGATCACTTAATTTCATTTGATGGCTGATTGCTGAGCAGAAGAGAGAGTCATGCACACATGCAATGTGTTAGAGGACTAGAGTTGGGTTCTCCAATGGTTCCTCTCGCAATCAAGTTAATTATGATCTGAATGAGAGAAATTACGGGAGGGCTGCAACGTTGGTGCGTTCTGATGAGTCATTATGATTTCGTTGGTGGAGCAATGATGACTTGACCGTGGATTTAACGTGATAGTAACCGGTTGACATCATAGGGCACAAGAAAGAACACTTTTTATCTCGGTCTTTCAAGAGAGGTCGAGTGAAGATGCATTTTGATTTGACCTGCTGAGTGAGGATGCCTCGAATTTCTGAGACGGTTTGAGTGAGGATTGTTGGATTTAATCTAATAAATCTATTTGTGGGCACATATGATTAATCAATGTGTATTGCTATCTTTCAGGATAACCCACTAAAGTGATCAATTAAGTTGGGTTAATTTGGTATTTAAATAAGTCATGGGGTTATATGTGCAGACACCAGGTTGTAATTGTAATTTATTGAGGGGCTAAATTACAAAAGTACAACATCTATAAATAAGGGGTTATGGTCCCTAACCTAGGGTTACATTCTCTAATTCTCTTCACCCCCATCTAAGAGAGAAATTCGGTTTTAGAGGAAACCCTAAGGTTAGAAGATCCAAAACCCAAAATCAAGATCAAGCAATGGATTCAGGTATAAGCTTCCGCTCTTTTGATTATTGTTAATCTCTTTGAATTAATCATGGCTATATGGTTTTAGATCTTAAGTTTTATGATGTAGATCTAACAAGTGGTATCAGAGCCACCTTGATTAATTCTTAGGGATTTAAGTTTTATTGGGTTTTTGATCTTAAATCTCTGGTTAAAGATTCAATTTTTGGGTTCGGATGAACAGTAATTTTCGGATGAACAGTAAAGTTTTTTTGTTCGGATGAACGGTAAAATTTTTTCCGGGTGAACAGTAGCTGAAAAATCGCCGGTGAACAGTAACTTTTTGGATTTTTCTTTGATTTTTTCCTTCAATTTTTTCCATTCTGGATCTGTTTTGAAAATAAAAATCAAAAATTTTTTGGGTTTGGCGGCGGCGGTTTCAGTTTGAAACCCTAAGGGTTCATGGCGAAAATTAAGGAGGTGGTTACCTCAAACGAACCTCGCGTTCGTTCAATTTTAACCGAGCTTCGCGCTCAACGAACCTCGCGTTCGTTCTAAGGTGAACCTCGCGTTCAACTCAGGTGAGCGTCAAGCTCAATTTTAACGAACCTCGCGTTCGTTCTAAGACGAACCTCGCGTTCGTACTTCAGACGAACCCCGCGTTCGAACTTCAGACGAACCTCGCGTTCGTACTTCAGACGAACCTCGCGTTCGTACTTCAGACGAACCTCGCGTTCGTACTTCAGTCGAGCCTCGCGTTCGAGCTTCAGACGAACCTCGCGTTCGAACTTCAGACGAACCTCGCGTTCGTACTTCAGACGAACCTCGCGTTCGTACTTCAGTCGAACCTCGCGTTCATTTTTAAACGAACCTCGCGTTCGTTCCCAAGTTGAACCTCGCGTTCTTTTATCAAACGAACCTCGCGTTCGTTCATTTTCAGACGAACCTCGCGTTCGTGCTTAAGTGAGTCTCGTACTCAATACAGTTGAACCTCGCGTTCGAAGTTAAGGGAACTTCGTGTTCATTATGGTTAAGCCTCGGCTTTTCATGGGTCCACTTTGGTATACTTAATTTATTCAATTAAGTTATGGGCCCTAATTAAGCTGTGAGACCCCAATTAAGTTTTTGGAAATTCAGTTGATTTAAATTTTTTAATTTAAATCTAATTCGGTTTTTAATCAATTATTTAATTCAAATATTATGACACTAAGGTATTAAGGTTGTCTCTCACTCCAATTGATTAATTGAAACAAGAAGTTGCCAAAGTAACCTCTCTTGTGTAGATTGTTCATGAGGAATGTGAGATGTTTGTGTGTATGCTTTCGTGTAAATATTTAATCGGCCCAAAGGAAGGTTAATATTTATTTAGACTGTATACACATCTGCGATGATAAGCGTGTGACAATTATAAGGTTTACATGTGAATAATGAATCGATCCAAAGATAGTTTCATTATTTGACATGAGTTATTGTCAATGTTTGATCATTGCAACAAGGTATCACTTACAAGTTAATATTACTGTCCAAAGACTTGATATTAATGTTGTGCCGGTATCTTGGATGGGGATTGTCATTATTTGAATTTTATTGATTATGGTTATTGATGTGAGCATTCTTTTGTTTTATTTCAGCTAATGCATCTGCTGCAACAATTTCTGCTAACATCAACTCAATTCCCATGCTAAATGGGACAAACTTCAAGGTTTGGAAAGAGAACATATTAATTGTTCTTGGCTGCATGGATCTTGACTATGCATTAAGAACTGAACAACCCCAACCTCTCAATGCGGATAGCACTCCTGATGCAAAGAAGGAGCATGAGAAGTGGGAGCGTTCAAATCGCATGAGTCTTATGATCATTAAGCGCGGCGTTCCGGAAGCCTTCAGGGGCATAGAATCCGAAGGGATTACTAAGGCTAAAGATTTCCTTGCCGAAATTGAGAAGCGTTTTGCGAAAAACGATAAGGTAGAAACAAGCACGCTTTTAGCTCGCTTGATTTCAATGAAGTATAAGGGCAAAGGAAATATCAGGGAGTACATTATGGAAATGTCTCATATTGCTTCAAAGCTTAAGGCACTTAAACTCGATCTTTGTGACGAGTTATTAGTGCATCTGGTTTTGTTGTCTCTTCCTGCACAGTTTAACCAATTTAAGGTCAGTTATAACTGTCAAAAGGAGAAATGGACTCTAAATGAGCTCATTTCATACTGTGTGCAAGAAGAAGACAGGTTGAAGCAAGATAAGACAGAAAGTGCTCATTTGGCCTATGCCTCTAAGGATAAGGGCAAGAAAAGGAAGAATGATAAGGAAGCTGCTAAGGGTCCAGTTGAGAAGAAACAACATAAGGATAATCAGGGTTGTTTCTTCTGTAAGAAGCCTGGACATGTAAAGAAGGACTGTACAAAATATCACGCCTGGCGTGATAATAAGGGTACGTTCCTTGCTTTGGTCTGTTCTGAGGTTAATTTAGCTTCAGTACCTAGAAACACTTGGTGGTTAGACTCTGGTGCTACTACTCACATAAGTGTTTCTATGCAGGGTTGCCTGAGCTACCGAAAGCCAAGTGATGTTGAAAGACACATCTTTGTGGGCGACGGACAATCGGTAGATGTGGAAGCAATTGGGCACTTTAGGTTGTTGTTAGGAACTGGTTATTATTTGGATTTAAAAGATACTTTTGTAGTACCGTCTTTTAGACGGAATTTGGTTTCTGTTTCTGTATTGGACAAATCAGGTTATTCTTGTTCATTTGGAAACAGTCAATTCAGTTTATCTTTTAATTCAAATGTTGTGGGAACCGGTTACTTGAGTATTTATGACAACCTATATTTGCTTGATACAATTGCTTCTTACAATGAATCCTTGCATGTGGAATCACGTGGTACTAAGCGTAAATTAAATAAGGAAAATTCGGCGACATTATGGCATAAGCGCTTAGGTCATATCTCAAAAGGTAGAGTTGAGCGTCTTGTGTCTGATGGCATTTTGGATTCCCTTGATTTTTCGGACTTCGACGTATGTGTTGAATGTATCAAGGGAAAACAGACCAAAGTGAAGAGATTAGGTGCCAACAGATCTTCGGATGTCTTAGAATTGATACATACGGATATTTGTGGGCCATTCCCTACGGAATCCTGGAATGGTCAACAATATTTTATATCATTCATAGACGATTACTCACGTTATGGGCACCTATATCTTATTCATGAAAAATCTGAGTCTCTGGACATGTTCAAAGCCTATAAAGCTGAAGTTGAGAATCAACTCAACAGAAGAATTAAAACCGTCAGATCTGATCGTGGTGGTGAGTACTACGGTAGATATGATGGTTCAGGTGAACAACGTCCAGGACCATTTGCTAGATACCTAGAGGAATGCGGTATCGTCCCACAGTACACTATGCCGGGTTCACCTAGCATGAATGGTGTAGCTGAAAGACGAAACAGGACTCTTAAGGATATGGTAAGAAGTATGATTGCTCATTCTTCTTTACCAGAGTCACTCTGGGGAGAAGCACTTAAGACAGCAGCTTACATTCTGAATAGAGTACCAAGTAAAGCAGTTGCTAAAACACCTTATGAGCTTTGGACTGGTCGAAAGCCCAGTTTAAAGCATTTACATATTTGGGGATGTCCAGCTGAGGCAAGGCCTTATAGGCCAAATGAAAAGAAATTGGACTCCAAAACAGTTAGCAGCTACTTTATTGGGTACCCTGATCGCTCTAGGGGCTATAAGTTTTATGATCCCACTATAAGGAATATTTTTGAGACGGGAACAGCAACATTCTTTGAGGATGTTGAGTTTGGGGGGAGAAATAAGGTTAGAGACATTAGTTTTGAGGAGGAATTGGCTTCAGATCCAATCCATACAGTTACTTTTGAC